GCTCAGTGAATTAGTGTAAGGTAACTGGCAACATGTGTAATGTGCACAGAGGCTAACATCTGTTAACTAGGCCAGGGTCTTAGCACTGCTACTGTATATAAATCTGGACCATGTCCCACAGGACTGTTCACTGCAGCACACCGAAGGACACTCACACATGCACACGTTGAGATCTACACACCAACAGTCAGGATTATATGTAGACAGACTGACAGATAATCTACACCTTCCATCACATTGCCCTGTCTTATTTGCCCCTGTGCTTTTTCTAAAGTGCAATTAATAACAAGATTTCCTGCAGTAAGTGCTGCATTTGGGTATTGTGAAAGGATTTGCAGCAGCTGGCACCTTTGCCTAGTTTGCAAATGTGGCTTGAGGGCAGTGGAGCATTTAATGATATGGAGGTGGGATAAAATTTGTTTCCACACATCAGCCTTTTTCGGTATTTTAAGATTAAGTGGCAAGATCACAGCTCACATTGAGTGTGTTAACATTGTGTTATTTTTTGCATTAGCCAAAAATAAAATAACATCGGTAAAACAGGGCTAATGATGCATCCTCTCATCCTCCCATAACCATCTGACAATTTCACACTGTTAACCTGGTTACCAAATATTTTGTTCTGTTGAGCAACTGACTAGTTACAAAGCAGTGATCACTCAGATGACTGAAGCCGTTTTCAGACATGAGATCCGGAGAGCGTCTGCACAACTGGGTCCAGACATTTTCCAGAGTGTGCCTTTCACATATGAAGAATGCAGCAGGAGATTCTCTAGTCAGACTTATTCACAATAACACAAATACCTGCAGAGCATTCAGGTGAAGAGAGGCATCTGGGTAGAGTGTGGAGGAGGCAGGACAGAACACATAAATTCAGCTCTATAGCACATCAACACCTGAGTTGGCTCTCATCACCAAAAGCTCTTGAATCTCGTTGTTTTTCCACATTGACATATTTGTCCTCTCCTCTTTTCCCATCCTGAGATATTTATATTCTGTTTCTTTTGTTTTGTTTGCTTCCATCACTCTATACAGCAACTGACCGGGACATTTGTGTTGATAATCATTCTCTCTTATAGTTCAAATTTCTCACGCTGTCTTTTTTAACTTATCTGCATCTTATTGTTATAAATATTTGGAAAAATATATAATTTGATCACTGTCTCTAAAAATGTTCTTGACTGTATCGTCGGACGTTTGTAGCTGCTTTAATGTACCGACACACCTGTAGTTTTTTTTTAAACATTTGTGATCACTTCCTGTTCGACGTCTAAAGCACCTTACACATGGTCACACTCTAAAAGCGGAAATCTACTGGATTTGGAAACAGCATCGACAGTTTTAGCCTGCCGACGGACCTCAAAGAGGATTTAGCTAGTGTCATTTAAGACAATGATTATCTGCGGTGTGCAGCATCTCCAGAGCTCAGCAGTGACTGACAGGTTGACTCACTCGGTACATCCCGACAGTACCAGTGTGCAGAAGGGTCATTATCTTCAATTCATTCCCTGTTATCACAGCTTATTGAAACACTGTGCCCTGACCTAATACAGTATGTTCTGCTATCCCACTCAGACTGTGTTCGCTCCGAGCCACATAGTACAAGGACGTAATGACTTTCCCTGTGATTACCAGTGGGCTAAGCCTTTCTGCAAGCTTCTTATTCCCCCTGCAGCTGGATCAAGCAGTAAAAGTTACCCATGAAATCCCCTCTGCAGTCAGAGTTCACACTCATCAGCTCCACTGATAGATGTAGAGGTCCAGGCAGAGAGCCGTGGTTGTAAAGGATAATGTAAGAGGGCGGGCGATGACCAAAGAAATATCGGTGTGTGGTTGTGCATATTTAGTTCCACCAGGGAGGTTATGTTTTTATCTGCCGTAGGTTTGCTCCCTGCCATTCTTCATTCATTTAAGTTCACGAGGCACTGCATTGGAAAATTGTTGGGAACAGGTAGCTTAAAACAACACTGCTAAAACAACACATTGTAAACTAATGGCGGTTGAGATGTAAAATGTCTTTTTGCCGGGGGGGCAGTAATATAAACATGATGTTATGTCAGATTCAAGCTACATGAGAATAGAGCAGGTTATTATCTGGAGAATTCACAGCAATCTAGTGGGAGTGTTGATATTTCTATCCTGCAAACTCTGCTCAGGAGATAATAATTGCATAAACCGAACAGTATTTCCAGTCAAAAGGGAAAGTAAGTGACATTTTTATCAGTTTTTCTTTTTTTTTTTTTACAAAGGCTGAGAGTTTTATTATTACCTCTGAAGCATGGCAGTAGTAAACAGAGTATCTTTTTGTCTCGGGAGCTTGGTCTTTAATGTTTAGAGCAGTATTTCTTACTCTCACGTCAACACTTTGAAATGCTTTCCCAGAAAACCCTGCCCTCTCCCTCAAATAACTCCTGGTCAAGTGCAGATTTGTGCTGCTCCTGCTCAAAAGGGCAGAGCATGACCTTTTGTCATTTGTCTTAATTCAGACAGCATCCCTTACATGTGGTAACTGTTTAACCAGCTTCAGCTGGTCACTCACCAGCAAGGTAGCACAGTTTTCTCAAGATATTTACTTCATTCACAGTGAACTCTAACTGCTCTGCCAGGACATCAGTCAGGATGAATTCATGAGTGCACATGAAGTGAAGATAGTCTCCGTCAGGATGACTGAACACATTTTGAGTGATTACGTGTTAAATCATCTAACTTTGGGGCCCCACCCCTTAAGTTTGATGATTTAACACATAATGACTCGAAAAACTTTTGGGCCCCACCCTTAAAGTGCTTTAAAGAAATTTGGCTTGCTGATTTGTTCACATGAGAAACCTATAGAACTGAATCCTAATAAATGAAGATAACTTGATTCTATGAATGCTTTTAAAGCTGCTCCATGTTTATCTAAACAATATGCTATCACAATGAGTGATTATATCAGTTATCATTTGATTGACTAAAATTTGCCAAAGACCTCCAGAGATTCAAATTCTACCTCCACACCAGACTTTGTCCAGACTAGTACCAAGAACATCCACTGCAAGTCTGTCAGATGACTAAGTAGATCCCGTGAGGAATCACTTGACTTTTTTAGCATCACTGAAACGATATACCTTACTGACACTTGGACATGACTGCAGCATGTTGGGTATCATAGCCTCTGCACTCTGACTTGTCGGTTCATTCAAAACACTCGCTCGGTTCTTTGTTGTGTATGGGTTGTCGTCCCCAGAGGAAAAGACACAACCTAGTTCACAGTTTGGTTCTAGAATGTCCTGTCTGAAGACGGCTCACTTGCTGTGTGTCACATATTGACTGTGTGAGTTCTCTTGTGGTTGACAATTTAAAGATGCAGGGAAGATCATAACAGAACTTATTTGATTGAGATGTAAGTGCCTGAGAGATGCAGCATCTGTTGTTCTTTATCTCATGTGGCAGGAGCCTCCAGTTAAAACCTGCTTTTTGTGTTTAAGCGATCATCCAAGTTTTTGCTCGGCCCAAAAAGTTAATTGAAATCACTTTTTATTGTGCACTACAATAATATGTATGTTTTGTATGCATATTAGTCAAACTAGTATTTAAAATCATGTGTAATTTGTTATTACAAGTGGCATTTGGAGGATTTTTCTATAACAGGGGCCGTAAAGGTGTCCAACATGCTCTGTACAATTTTATTCGAGCAAAGCCACACATCATTTAATATAGTATAGATGATTGTTCCTTGTTCAAGCAAGTTGTGTTCTTCAAAAAAGATTTTTTAACAATCGTCAAATGGAGTCAGACTACTGGCAAGGGTACTGCAGGGCCCAGTTCCTAGTTGTTAAATTTTGTGCCCTCCCTTTTCTATTTTTTTTGGTCAACACTGCGTGTGATTGTGATGGATGTAGATTAGGGATCTTGAAGACATTGTGTGGTGTTCTACCAACACACAATACCTATTCTGCTCTGCCAGTCTTATCGGTTTGATATTGTTGTTATAGCCCATTAACTTCTCAGTGTCACATTTTGTTTAATAATCTGCTGCTTCATTTGCTGGATATTGTACAAGTTTAATTATAGAGTTGGTTGTTCTTGTCTTTCTGCTTGAATGTGCCTTGTATACATTATTAATCTGGACAGAGGATAGAACATGGACTTGTCTTCTTGTATTGTCCTCCACGGTGCTGCAAGTGAAAAAATGAATTGTGTTGTGCATACCCATTTTAAATATAGTAAATGTACAGTATATACAGTGCAGAACTAGGAGCACAATCTTATCAGGTGTCATCTCATATAATGTGGATGTTTTAAACAAATTTTTTTTGTGTGTGTGTGTCTTTTGCATGTGCGTGTGCATTTGCTGTCTACCTATAATGATAATTCCTAAAAGGAATTGCTTTGACAAACAAGCCTTGCATTGCTTTTAGTCCAAACCTTCCAGTCATGATAGTTTTCCGACATTTTACTCAGCAGAGATATGACTGTAGGAACCAATGTAGGAAACTCGATTCAAGTCAAAGCTAAAGAAAAGTGCAACTGCACAAATTAATTTAATTACATTGTTAAAAGCAAATAAAATAGTTTATGAGCAGTTACATACATGTGTAGTGGTTTGTTAACATGGACTTAAATTGTCCAGATATTAGTTTATTGATATTCTTTGGACACTTGACACATTTTACTATTTTAGTCATAATGTGACACCGTGCAGCTAAAAGGAGCAGTAAAATAAGATTCATTAAAGGAAGATGAAAAATAAGTATTGTGATATTTATCATCAAAATTCATGGATCAGGTGCAAAAACCGTTGTGACATAATACAAACCTTTTACATCCTGCAAACCTTAATCAAAATTCTATTATTCTATAAATAAGCACCTGTGGAAATGTAGTTGATAGTGAAAACAGTGGAGTTCATTGATTTGCCCACAACCAACCGTATTTTGCCTTTGTTACAGAAATGAACCTGAACTGGCTGAACTCAAACTGTATTCATTCAAAAATTCGACTGTGTTGTGGCTCCACAGGTGATGGCGTTCCAAAGGAAAACAGCCCCTTCATTAACAACACAGAAAACGACAAAGGCAACAGCTACGATGGCACCAACATGGCTCTATTTGAGGTAAAAGTTGTCTTCATCTTCTACTTGACATGGTCCATATGCACATGGTGGGGGAATGTTTTACTAAACTTGGGAATGTAGCTTTATTTTGACAGGATGTTATAAACCATGAAGGAGAGCCCCCCCAGAAGAAGCCCCCTTAGCGAAGAATCTGCAAACACATATCTACTCTTTAACTAATTTTCACTGCTAGTATTACAGTATTAAACCTAGACTATAACCTATGAAGGTTATTCATTAATTCACAATATGCTACAGCATCAGGGTCAGTTGTGGTGAACTAAATAAATAGTATACAAGGAGGTGAAGGTATCACTCTACTCTGAACTTGGAGGAATGCACTGACTAATATAAGCAAATCAGATTGACGCAGTGTTGAGCTTATTCAGCTGACCCTTTGCCAGGTACTTGGCTCCATTTGTCTGACCTTGCTACTCTGCGGTCACTGACCCCTGAAAGGAATCAATTAGACACTGCAGCTTCTGTTTTCATCGCCCTGAGAGCCGGAAGCTGATCCAGGCATGCCAATGCCTTTCTAAGATGCTTTGAACAGTCGTAAACACAGGAGTACTAACTACTTAGAGGCCACATTAAAGATGAAAAAGTAATGGAATATAATTTGGAATGCTGGAGAAACATACAGTAAAATCCAAATGATAAATTGAAAAAACTAAGTATCAGATGATGCCATGGTCCAGCTTGTTCAAAAATAATTTCTGAATTGCAGGAGGAAATGGACAGCAACCCCATGGTATCGTCTCTCCTCAACAAACTGGCCAACTACACTAATCTCACCCAGGGGGCCCAGGAGCACGAGGAAGCTGATGATGACGAGGGGTCCAAGAAGAAAGCTGTTAAGGTAAACGAGAGAGCCTTATATTGTATATTGTATCACAGATGCTGCTTTAACAGTTGCTATTTTACACAACATTATTTAACAGGGTCTTTGAGCAATGAAACTGAATAGCTGAAGTTTTATCTCTAAATATAATCTGTGCCTCTAAAACAACAAGTCGCCTGCGAACAGTCTTATCTTAAAGGCAGCCATTAATAAAGAGCACTCTGACGTATACCTTTTAACTGGATGACCCATTGACCTTGTTGCTTGGGTTGGATGATGAGAGATGAAGAGAGAAATGTAACACGGGTATCTATCAAGTTTTTGTGTTGTCCGTGTCCCACAGACTATTTGAGCTGTTTCTCCTCGAGGATCTTCGGGTACTCATGTTTCGTTTTTCTTAGAAAAGGAAAAATTAAAAGTAGCCACAGTGCTGCCATGCAGGCATATAGATGCTTCTGTAACCACAGCTTCAGTCCCATGCCAGTTGCGCCATCCTGTTGACTGAATGGAAATAAGACTCTGGGGTACCTCCCATTGGCTCGCGGGAACATCATGTTAAAGAAATAAGTGGATGAAGCTGACACCACTGTCGCCCCTCTTTGTCTGGACCAGTGGGGCTAGTGTTGTGCATTTGGAGATAAATGGATAAAAAGGTAGCTGCTTGTCAACATTGAGGTGATCGATTTTACGTCTTTCTTTTGTTTTCTGTCTGAAAAGCTTAATATATTCCTGTTGCTTGCTCCTCTTTACATGCTGTCGTGAAACTACAGAGTCTTGTATGGAATGCTATCTTTTGGGATGAAGGATTTTCAACTATTTTTGTCACTGGTTGCTGGATAGTATAGAGTGGTTTAATAAATAATGATGCCTGGGTCACTGAGATGTAAGTCTTACAACCGTTTTTAAGTTTTCAAGCATGATCTTGAACTTGTTAGTAACAGCTCTCTCTTTGGTAACGGAGAACTTCTCGTGCATTTATCATGGCGCCCCATTGACGAGATTTTATCCAAGTAAAACCACAGCTTTTAAGCCAGTATTAAAATAATCAACATTTCCACTGTCTTACCTCAATATGCTAATGTTGTGTTTTCATGTAGATCAGTTATAATCAATATGCAAATTTTATACTTACTGATTTTTCAAATATAATCCTAAATAACATCACAAAATAAACTATGGGTATAGTGAACGAGCACTTTTGTTTCCCCTTTCGTTTCCCCACATGCACGCTTTTTTAAATAGTCTTTTCTCCTCTATTTCACCCCCTGTCCCACTTCTACAGAGCCCACAGATGGGGACATTCATGGGTGTCTACCTCCCCTGCCTCCAGAACATTCTGGGGGTCATCCTATTTCTGCGCCTTACCTGGATTGTCGGCACCGCCGGCATCTTGGAGTCCCTGGCTATCGTCTGCTTGTGCTGTTCTTGTGTGAGTACTCATTCATTGTGACCCATGTGACTCGCCTCTTTACTTTGACTGTATTTTATTCACGACAGCTTTACAGTGGACATTTAATGAATGAATCATGTTTGCATGTCCTTTACTTTTCCAGACCTGGTTTTGTTAAGTTAAAGAAAAGGTCAAAGTGAAAGGAGCTGGTCTGACTCCTGACGTGGATATTATTTCCTCTTTATTAAGGGATTTAGAGTTTAAGTCATTAGAGCAATGACGTGCAAGGTTATATAAGAGTAAACTTCATGTACATACCCTGCTCTTTAGGATATTATGAGTACATCAGCATATAAGAGGGTATATATCTCTTTGCCTGAGTGTTTTTACTGACACTGGGGTCAGAAGCAACTTGAACTTTTAATGGCAGAGGGATGCAAATGTTGAATCGACAGCAGTAGTGAGTGATCGGCAAGTTGACTCAGGGGCCACTGATCCGGCCTATATTTAGCTGCTGTGACTCTCTATTTCCCATACACTCCTAGCTTCTAATGGCACCTGGCAGCTTGACGTGTAATCCCTCCATCTGCAAAGTGTCAGAAACATAGCGACAAGCACACCCACAAGGGGACAGGACCGGGCAGACAATGGATTATCTCAGTTTAATCAGGGAAAGTACAAACTATCTCAGATGAATGCTTTTTACCTCATAATGGAATGTTGCTGCAAGGGCAAAAAATGGTCAGAAACATTTCAGACTCTGCAAAGTCAAGAATCTGACTAAAAAGATTTTTTACTAAAAAATAATTGCAGGAAGCGAGTATTTATATTTGTATTTATTAGAACTGTAATAATAATAATAATGTTTGTGATGTAATAATGAATTCATATCGGATTTCATGACTACGTTAGCAGTTTGAAAGATGGAAACTCCATTTCATTCCAGTCTAGTAAAAATGCATTAGCAGGGTTTACCCTCCACTACATCACTGCTGTTACATAATAAGAGAGCCAGGGTTTATCAAACAGATTAATGTTCATTTTCACTGCTTAGACCACATCTGACTTCAGCCATCTGCTTATGGGTCACATTTTGTGTGATCCAGACCCAACAACAGAAATGTCTAAAAATAACCTAAAGGCAGTTCATTCACCTTCTCAAACAGTTGCTGTTTATTCAGTTCATTTCAAAACAGTGAACTGTGTTGTCTCTACTTTGTATTCTCTTCTTATTCACTTCATGTTTACACAAAGAAAGCTGTTGCAAAGACTTTCTGGCTGTAATCTCTTGTTCACTCATTCACTACTTCCTTTATCAACTACGGCTCAACCCTTTTCCTGTAATCGACGAGGTGTTTTCTAGCAGCGCAGCTTTTTTAGCCTTAACCACACTGGTTTAGTGGCCGGGGGGAAACTCACAGACCAGTTGCATGTGTCGTAATCCATCTGACATGATGCCTCTCAGCCAATCATTGTGACTTGAGTCAGTGCGTGAGATGTACAGACGGGAGAGGCGAGACTAGAGACAGCAGTCTGAGAAATAAGTGGGGAAGGGGAGGGGTGGGCGGTGGGTTTAAGCCTAAGGAAAGAAAGAGTAAAGAAGATTAACACTTTTTAACTGTTTAGATGTGTTGAGCTTGTTTATTATGATATTGTTTTACAGTTAAATGGTGAAAACTGAAGCTACACTTTTTATTAAATTTTTCAAAAATTAAGCTCTTTTATTTTATCTCACCCTAACCCATTTTTTATTATTTATTATTATAATTTTTTATTTCCTAACCGTTCTGTGCAGCAGACGTTTCTCCTCTTTTAGTTATGAGCTCCTCATTTTCTCCTTCAGAATTACCCTGTTTCAAGTTCTCTCTGTGTGAACAAGTATTGTCAAAGTTATTTGAGAGACAACAACACACATAAACAATAGAGCATAATATGAAACATTAGACATTTTTCGATCATCACTTGATGTACAAATTATTGAGGTGTAGATGCACTCAATAGTGAATATAATGCATTATATAGTAAATACATGTTTTGCAACCTGAAGAACTAGAAATGGAGACTAATTCATTAATATTACAACATACAACAATTTAGCACCACACACTGCTCTGTCAGTAGGATTCCTGTGGTCCCCTGACACCTCAGATACTCAGATATTTCAAACTGTCTCACAACATCCCGAACCAAGGCCATTGTTGAATTTCATCTCCTGTATGATTCAGTGGAACTTCTCTTACTATACTTTGTGAAATGAGAACTCAATTCATGTCGATTGAGGGGGAGAAGGACAAGATCATCGGATTTTGGTGGTGCCTACCTGTTCACTCCCAAAGAATTTCCAAATCATGACATGTGGCTGTATAAAAACAGATGAGTCTTAATGGAGGTTTCATCGGTGACAACCTACTGCTTTTATAAATGTATAGTCAGGTCCCAGCTTCATTCACCGTAGCTGCTTAGGGATTCGTTGGAAGCAGGAGGTAAAACTGTCAGGTAATTGGCTTTACTCCAGCTTGTCTGCCACTTTAAACCGGACGCACAGCAAAGAGCACAAGATTTATCTTCGTTGTGTCCTTGTCCTTGCTCCTTGCTCCCTTCTTCGTCTTCCTCCTCTTTCCTTTGTCCTCTGTTCTTTCACCTTCATGCTTTTTTCTCTCCCTTTTTCTTTCACCCCTTCAGTTTCATGTTTTTGTGTCTTTCCCTTTTTTCATTTCTTTGTATTTCTTATCTTGTGACACCCTGTCCTTCTTTCTGCTCTGTTCTTTCTCTCATCTGGAGGCACTGGGAGGTAACAGGATGTAAAAATCCTCAGCCACAATGACTGATTTCATGGAAAAGCTGGGATCCATTACCAATCCACCATTTAGAGCATAAGCCCACAAGAACAATGTTATAGGTCAAATGCAAGATTGACCTCTACAACAAAAACCTGAAAAATTCATGGAAACAATAATTGTTGGGTGGGCAAGTGGTTTGTGTGACTTATTAGTTTAGTTTTGATATTAGAAGTATTAAGGTCACATTATATTATATAGCAAGACTTATAAAGTCCTTGTATTAGGAAAAAAAAGTATTTAATTTAAAGGATAGTCATTATATATTTTTATAAAAAGCTATAATTTCTCATTATATTACATGAAAAAAGTTTAACATTTACAAGATTAAAATCATTAAAGTCATAATTACATTGTCATAAGTAAAAGGACCGGAAAAGATTGTGCAAGAAATAATGTCTATTCTGATGAAAGAACCGCTCAGACTTGAAAGCATTTGCCTCTTTTGTGGAGGGAGAAATGTTTGGTAGCGATCGACTGCAATTGTTGTTTACATCTGCGGTCTATTCAAAGGGATTTCATAGTTTCTAATAACGATGACTAATGAAGAGACTGGTTCAAGATGTTGCATCCAGAAGGCAAGAAGGCGACCACATGTTTCCCCTGCAGCTCATTTTCTCAGAAAGGTTTTTTTTTCTTCAATTTATCTCAGAGACTTCTCGTTATATATCTTTAAGTAACAATACCATATTTTTTTCCTTTTTAAGTGGCACTCATGTCTCACAAGAGGAAATCATTTCTGTGATTCTTGCTTTTGAATGGTTGATACTGATTATCACAAATCCCCTTACAGTGAATACTCACCAATAAAAAAACGAATATTTCAAATCATTGATTCTCATAGACAATATCTATTGATCACAGAGGAGAGCCTTATGTAAAGTTCTTGTGGGAGTTTTGACAATTATGCCTTCCTGTGCTCTCTCCACAGACCATGCTGACGGCCATATCCATGAGTGCGATCGCTACTAATGGCGTTGTGCCAGGTAGGATTCTTTGATGCTTCGAAATAAACAAACTTCAACAAGAAGAATGAACAGGGATTAAATCATAATGTAATAAGATTTGTTGGTTTGTCTTCGCATTTTTGTTTTTTTGAGGATAAAATGAGATCATGAGATTTGTCTGTGCTCCAACAATCAGATGGAATTTAACCTGAAGCCTCGAATATTTGTATGACATAGAATCGTTATTTCAGGATTTCAATTAATTATGTATCCAGATCCTCTTTCTGATTAGAGTCATTCCTGCTGTTTTTTCTCCACAGCCGGAGGTTCCTATTATATGATCTCTAGATCTCTTGGTCCAGAGTTTGGAGGAGCTGTAGGTCTCTGTTTCTACCTGGGGACAACTTTTGCTGGCTCCATGTACATTCTGGGTACTATAGAGATTCTTCTGGTAGGTGAACCCTGTCCGACCTAGCCGAGTTCATGCTATTTACTCAAACTTGCATTGTAAAATGTGTATATATTTTCCCTTTTTCTCGTATTTGAATCTTCTATCTGTCCCGCGTCATTTCAGACTTACATCGTGCCTAAAGCAGCCATCTTTGTGGCAGAGAAGAAGGAGGACCAGTTGGATGCCCTGCTGAATAACATGCGCGTGTACGGCACGTGCTGCCTCGCACTGATGGCTGTGGTCGTCTTTGTTGGAGTGAAATATGTGAACAAACTAGCCTTAGTCTTCCTGGCCTGTGTCATTCTTTCTATCCTTGCTATCTACGCTGGAGTCATCAAGACCATCTTTGAGCCGCCTGACTTTCCGTGAGTTTCCTGTTAACATATCCTCCAGTTTTATATGGCATCATATTGTGCCATAATGGAATCAGATGAATTTTGTCAGGCCGCCATAGTGACTCCTGAAGATAGCATGATACCCATCTGTATATTCATATTTATGCATAGTTCTGTTTAAAATGAACTAAATAGCGATTGCAACACTTCAACAGCTCTAACTATTTTTTTTTTTTTCCTCCATACAGTGTTTGCATGTTGGGAAATCGCACTCTGCAGAACCTCAACTTTGACAAGTGTCTTAAGACAGATTTTATAGACAACATGACGGTCACTACCAAACTGTGGATGCTGTTCTGTGAAGGACCTGAGCTCAACGCCACCTGCAATGACTACTTCGTCAACAATAATGTCACTATGATACAGGGCATCCCTGGGCTCACCAGCAGAGTCATTTCAGGTTGGAACACAATGTTTCCTCTGCAAGAAAAACAACCTCCCTGACCTGTTATCTATACTTTATCACATTATCACAGTTACAGCTGTAATATGCAGGTATGCAGGTGGATTCCAGTTCAGTTCAACTGAGCTTATCCACCATAATCATCCGGAATTCTCTGTTTTTCTGAAACGTATCCTGCTACAGACTTGCCAGAATGAACTTTGAAATTACGTCAAAAGATCATGGGACAGACTTGAAACATATTTGTTCATTATTAACCTTCCAATTTTAAGTTAAACAATGCCAGTATGTTTTATGAAATACAGTGCAAACCCAGAACATTCCTGCTGTTATGTAACTCTTGGCCATGACAAACTATTTCTCCTCCGTCTACATGAATGCATTCCTGTCATATTTCTAGTGAAGCAGAGTGTCCGCAGGTGCTAAGTGATTTCATATGCGATCTTTTTAACTCTATCTGCTCTCTCACATCTCTTTTTGCTTTTAATTTTATTTTCTTTAGCTCCTCTCCCTCACATAACTCTCAGAAACATCTCCTCCTCATCTGATTCAGATTTTTTACATTTTGTGTATAAGTCTCTGGACACATTACATCAGCTGTAATATATTCTATATTGTCTTGCCTGTTTTCAATTACCAATGTTCTCTCAGCACCAGTGCTCTGGACTTTATAATGTTAACATGTCTGGAGCAGTTAAAAAAATGTTTAACTTATAGAACTGATGGACTTTAATCGTGCTTGTTTTCACAATATACCGTAATAGATTTTGTAAATGTTTGTATCTTTTGCTACAGTGTTGGCATCATATTGAATTTATCTTTTCCTCTACTAAGCTTTGAACGGAGTAAATTAAACCATTTTTGACAGTATTGTTAACACCTTTAACTAATAAGCTAAAGTTTTACATCTTGAAATGTCCGGCTGTCTAAAGAAAACACATTTCATTGTCAAGTTGGTGAATTAGCACAGTGTTTGGTTTATGCTGTTTGGAAACTAACAAATCTGTTTGTGTCTCTGTTATAGAAAACATGTGGTCAGAGTATGGTCCTCTGGGCATGATGGTAGAAAACAAAAAGCTGTCGTCTCTTGGGGGAAGTGACTCTGCCCAAGACATCTACATGCCATATGTAGTCAATGACATTACCACCTTCTTCACACTGCTGGTCGGCATCTACTTCCCCTCTGTCACTGGTGAGGCTGATAAAAGTGACAAACACCCCCCCACACACACACACACACGATGATGTGGGAGCTATTTAGTTTTTACTTGTTTGGCTACTATAACGAATAGAACTGCTCAGTGCAGAGCTGTGTTTCATTTCTGTGTTGTTTATGTCTGATTCTTTGTCGGGACCACCTCTTCCAGGTATCATGGCCGGTTCAAACCGCTCAGGCGACTTGAGGGATGCCCAGAAGTCCATACCCGTCGGCACCATCCTGGCTATTGCTACCACCTCCGTCATCTGTATCCTTAAAACTTTGAAGTGACTTTGATACCAGAAAATCAAGTGAAATGGCTCAGACTGATTTCAAAGTTAGTGTAGCAAATAAAATATATAGCAGTATAGTTTTAAACCTGTCTTTCTATTTTATTCTATTCTATAGTTAGTACAGATATATGTTATCTTGGAGTAGAGCACAGTAGGGCAGTAAGGGTGCCACCTGTTATTTCGTCAGTAGCGTGCTCAGTGTGTTTAAAGCTTCACCCTAATGTAAAAGAAACAGACTTGAGTTCACGTTCCTGAACAGTGCTTCACAGACGTCACCTGTGTGGTTCTCTTCGGTGCCTGTATTGAAGGCGTTCTGCTTCGAGACAAGTACGAGTTTCACACCCAGCACATACTGTAGAATACTGATCTCACTATGTTTTATAGAGTCTTTGGTTTTTTAATAAAACTGAAAAACTATGTGCAATGTGTAGGTTTGGCCTTTATGTTCCCTCATTTCCATCATAAGAGCCTCAGATTCTGTTTTAGACTCAAATCTTTTGGATCACTGCATTTCATCACTGTTTTTAAAAGACTAGTTCTCACCAAAGTGGAATAAGTATTGCATTTATTTGAGAAACTAGTTTCAACTGTCCATTAATCCACATTTAAGTATTTAGTATTTATAGCAACATGATTAGCTGGGAGTTGTTGGACAACAGTGGCACTCTGTGATACAGAGGATTAAATACAGTATATCAGACAAGTAGGAAGTACCGCTTTAACATGTATTATTGTTTTTCTATTGCAGATTTGGTGACTCGGTGAAAGGAAACCTTGTGATAGGCACGTTATCATGGCCCTCACCTTGGGTTATTGTGATTGGCTCGTTCTTCTCCTGCTGTGGGGCAGGTTTACAGAGTTTGACTGGTGCCCCACGACTGCTGCAGGCCATCGCACGAGATGGCATCGTACCTTTCTTACAGGTCAGATGAACACATCAAATACTGTCGAAGCAGTCTTCATCCTCATACGCTCCGCTTCCGTTTTCACACTGGACTGTGTGTGTGTGTTTGTGTGTTAGGTGTTTGGTCATGGTAAAGCTAATGGAGAACCAACCTGGGCTCTGCTCCTGACTGCTGGGATCTGTGAGATAGGCATCCTCATCGCCTCACTGGACGCCGTGGCTCCTATCCTCTCCATGTCAGTACCTGTCTGCATATTTCTATCACCTGCTTTCTTTTACCAGATGAAATCTTTCACCCCCCATGTATTTTTGAACCTACAGGAGATTTAGATGAGAGATTAGTAGTATTTCTTTTGGCTTACTCTTCTCCTCCTCGCACAGGTTTTTCCTCATGTGCTACCTGTTTGTCAACCTGGCCTGCGCTGTTCAGACGCTACTGCGAACGCCCAACTGGAGACCACGCTTCAAATACTACCACTGGTGGGTGACAAATTACAGTCGTTCAAATAAATGTTCCCTCTTTAATATGTTTAAAAAAAATTATTAGACTCATCAGTTTAACTACTGAAATGGCTGAGGATTTCAGTACAGTGCAGAATCAAAGAAACACCTTCACAACCATTCACAAACATGTTCAATGTGTTTAATGACATGATAACCTTTACTGGGATTACTTTCCGCAACAAAGGCTGAGGAAAATAATGTTGTAGTACAGTAGATTTCCTAATTTTACCTAAAGCAAACACTTGTTTTCTGCTACAGGGCTCTGTCCTTCCTGGGAATGAGCTTGTGCCTTGCTCTCATGTTCATCTGCTCCTGGTATTATGCTATCGTTGCCATGGCCATCGCTGGGTGCATCTACAAATACATTGAATACAGAGGGTAAGAATAACTTTGTACACATTATTTTCTTTGGTTCAACAGTGTTCAAATAGAGAATGGTTGAACCTGAATAGAATAAACTTCTGAAAGCAAGGACATCTTGCTTAAATGTACAAAGTGCATAGTGTTAATATCTGAGCTTCTGATAAGGCAAAAAGGAAGAATTAAAATAAGCCACTGGTATTTCTTACTTCACTTTGAGTCCCAAAAAGATGCTATGCTGCAGAACTTTATTGCAGAACATGTTCCCTTTGACAAGACTGCGTGGTGTGTTGTATGTTGTAACTTCACCCCAAAAAATTCAGTGGTGAACACAACCTAATACTGGGCTGCTAAAATCCATTCTGTCATTGTTTTGAATCACTCTCTTGTTTATTGCATTGTGAATCATTTGTTTGTTTTAGGGCAGAGAAAGAATGGGGTGATGGCATCCGTGGTCTGTCTCTTAACGCAGCTCGCTACGCCCTCATTCGACTGGAGGAGGCTCCACCGCACACAAAGAACTGGAGGTACTGTGTGTGTGTGTGTGTGTGTGTGTGTGTGTGTGTGTGTGTGTGTGTGTGTGTGT